AAGATTCTTCCTTCTCTGGGGAGGAGCCAGATAGGATGGCGTATCATCACACCATCATGAGACATGTGCTCAAAGCCTTTCTGGCTTGGTAGGACCCTCCAGAGCTTGACCTCACACCATGAGGCATCAGAGGAGGATGTTAATGGAGGAACGGGTCACACTAGTCATCTAATTGACCACCTGGCAGAGGTCAAGCTCAAGAACGTCCATTTTCAATTATGGCACCAAAGTACTGCAAAATCCAATACTTTCACAAAAACAGTTTTCTTAAGCTAGGCACAATTTTTTTTTAACTTTGTGATTAGATGAATCTGTCATAATGGCTAAGACACAGTCTTCCCCTATTCTTAGACTTGCAAAGTCTTCTAACCTTCTGGAGGACCAACATGACTTCCACAAATGCTTTATTTTTTGCTTTTAATAATCGAGATGTAGGTTCACTATGCAAATTTGTTTAGAGGTATATCATGATGATTTAAAGTCATAATTGTTGTATCCTTCAAGGATCTATGTTTTCACCCTTCTGACTGTTCTCTCCATGCCCACACACAAGCCCCAGACACGTCAGAGAGAGCATTTATCACCTGGGTCCAGTCGAGGGAGTCCCATGGATATTCCACACCACGAGGTGATGGCAGATGGGAACTCTGGGGTAGGAGGTGCACTTCACCAGGATACAAATGGGGGCTCTTATTGCCAAAAGCCCCATTTTGATAGAATCACCTTTTATGAGAAATGTCTTCATCGAGGTACTGGGAACTACAGGGCTAACAGCTAACTGATCTGGGGGCAGAGGGAGAGAGGGAGGAAGGGAGTAAAGGAATGTCAGATTTTCTCTGTGTGTAAGGCATTATGAGTAAACCGTCAGATTTCTTCTTTTTCAAGAAAAGCAAAGCCTAGAACCTAGAGAATGTTGTACACAATAACAGCCACATTGTGTGATGACTAATATTGATAAACTTAACCCTTCCTGGCAATATAAGGATCTAAGACATCTCCAGAGGCCTTGTGATGGAAAATGCTATCCACATACAAAAAAAGAACTATGGAAGTCGAATTGCTATTTTTTTTCTCTTCTGTTGAGTTTTGTTTCCTCTTTCTGATGGTTCCTCCTATTGGTTTTGATTTTTACTTACAACATCACTAATGTGAAAATATGTTTAATACAAATGTAAATGTATAGCCTATATCAGATTTAGTGGGGACAAAGGGGGAGAAAAATTTTAAACTGAAAAGCATATGGAAGTGATTATTGATAAATCAAAATAAATTAATAAAAAAAGAAAGAAAAGAAAAGAAAAGCCTCATTAAGTGTATACTTTCTTTTCTTGATCTTTGCAACCATTTTGTAATTTTTTAAATGAAATTTCTATTAACAAGCAATTAACATTCTCTCCCTCCCATGTCCTCTCCTCTCTCACACACACACACACACACACACACACTACCCCATTCACTTGGAAAGTGCTAAAGGCTTTACTTTGCTTTTAACTTTAAATTTTTAAAAACATTATCTAATTCTAAAATTGAATATTTGTGTCAGAATGAGTTGGTTGTAGGAGTTTGTTTCTCAGTTAGAGGATCTTACCAGGTCAGCCACAGACAAGCATCTCTGAATCCCACCACCACGCCCCATTGTTGGAGCCTGCAGCCACTGAAATCCCCAGGCCTCCTTCACCTTTTACTTCTGCAGTTCATGATTTTTTTTTAAAAAAATCCAATTATGGTATTTTCTTTTATTCCCTATAAAATCAACTCTATTCAATGTGACTCATCATTCCAGCCTATTAAGATCTTCTTTGCACTCTGAGAGACCAGGGTGAAGGACAGAATTCTCTGATATCCTGCCAGAGACCTCTCACCAAGTTCACTGGTACTAATGCTCTATTTGCATAAATACGACTGCCTCAGTCCATCCACAAGCACCAGCTGAGTGCCCTGTGCTAGGAATACTTCCATTATCTCAATTTACTTTCCTCCTGAAATGAAAGCTGTTGGTTTGATGACATTAAGAGTTTCTTCATTGCTTCACCCAAATGCTCTTCAAAGTTCTTTAGTGTCAAGGGAATTAAAGGAATCACATTTATAATCAGTGGGCAGGTCCCAAAGCAGATGGCTTCCCAGGTCTTGGAAACCAATGAGGGCCAGGACTATATCACTTCTCTATCTTTGTATCCACAGGGCCTAGCACAACACAAAGCTACAAAATAAATTAACAGATGCATGTTTGCCCTATCTAACCCTTTTTCATTGAAAGGAATTATTCATTAAAAATAGCAGGTGTGGTCTTTCTATTGATTACTGAAAATTATTCCTCCAGCCCTCCCCCATCTACTGTTGAACTTCTGGAGGCCACCCTTAGATTTGAACTCACATGAAAGCAAGTCTATCTAGTGCCCTTTCCCTACATCCATAACCATTACTAGAAGAATGCATAGAATTCAAGACAATTCCAGCTTTCATTCTCTTCTATATTATCCTTTCACTGCCTCCTGGCTTCAAACTGGAGATGGCCCAAACCTTGAAGCTCAACTCTTTGAGCAACTCACGAGCTAAAATCAGATGTCACAGGTTCCCTAACTGCCCTAAGCCTCAGATGACAATCTGAAGACAGGGAAACTAAGGTTTTCAGGAGAAGCAATCTGTATTAATCACGGGGACCAGGGCTGCTTTGGAAACCAGGACAAAAGCCTCCCTGGGGTCCCAGGCAGCAGAGGAAGATCATTTCCAGTTGTTTTCCCTTTCCCCTACACCGAAAGAAAAAAGAAAACCACCAAGGTGTGGGCAATCACCAACCATCCAGTATTTCCTTTCATCCGAGAAATTCAATAAAAGTACATTTGCTTTTTTTTTCCCCGAGAATCCATCTTAATTGAGGTTTATTATAACCTAAATAACAAAACTAATGAGATTAAGACAGATGGGTAAATGCCAAATGGATTATTTTTTAATCAAATAAACCTCTAGACTTTAGAAACTTTTTTTAATTAGGTAAGATTAAGTTTTAGCAGATTGTAGAAGTAATGGAGGAGAAAGGTGAGCCTTACAGGAGAATCAGTAAGTATGGGGCTGGAATCCATCTTTACCTGAATGAACTGCATCCTGCTCAAAGTCAACAAAGCCTCCACCCCCTCCTGCCTCATTAGGCCGAAAAGCCAGATGGGGATGTTTTCCAATGATATTGCGGAGGTTTATCTTTTAAAAAAAAAAAAAAAGAATGTTTATTACTTAGTCATCCATTTCTAGTCTTCCTTGAATTTTTCTCTTATTATCACTTGTCAAAATAAAGAAGCAAAACATGATGCTTAATATGGTAGCCAGGATGGCAGCATTCAATCATGATCAACTCCCCCAAACAAATGACAGCATTTTTCATACTCATTTTGTAGAGTACAGCTGGAGGAGAGCATTATACAAATTACACATGGCAATTAGAGGATAGTTTTCCAATATTGTGTAATTCAGTCTCCTAAATTTATCTTATATTATCCAATTTGAAACATTTAGGAGATGTAGGCTACTTTTTTTTGTTACTTTGCAATCATAGAACATGTGGGATGTTTCTCCCACCCCACTCATCATTTAGGACAATTTGGTGCAATTTAAATTGTCCTTGATGATGTTTTTCAGAATTAACTTCCTCTGTGTTTAATTTTGGGCCATCTACTCTCTACCATCATGAAGTCCAAAGCCTGGAATCACAAGGAATCACAGAAATTGGGGAGGGGTGAAGCCTGTCAAAAATGAGTGTATCATTTCTGAGGACTTGAAAGAGAGGTCCCAGTGTATATGAAGTGATGATACAAGCTAATTAAGCAAACTTTGGTGAAAACTTTTCTGTGAATTCGGTGTGAAGTTTTCTTTCTGGATACATGAAGTAATCTATTTATGCCGATTGTTTAGAAATGCTACAAAGAGGCAATGGGAAGAATGGAACAAATTCATGCAGACGTTTTGTGTTTCAAGATGAGTGCTGTGTGTGTGTGTGTGTACACACACACACACACACACACACACACCCCTCACCTTGGCCTCAATCTCATTTTCTATCTCGATTATCTCTTGGCCGCTGAACTTCTCGACCCTCTCCAGAAGCTTCCTCTGAGCATAGACTAACAGCGGCGTCACTTGCTCGGTATACTTCTCACTGCCAAGACAAAACAGGGCATTAGAACCCTAGTGGTTAACAGTTTCAACTAATAATACATACTGTGTGTATGTATAACGTATTTGATGCAGGTCAGCTCTCCATCCAGCATTACTTACTGCGTAATTTCATTGAAATGGAGGGCAATATGTGCCAGTGTTTCCCATTTTCCCACTCTGTACAAAATTTCCAAAGTTTTAAAGATGAAGTCAGAAATATACTTCAAATCAACCAAGTTCATATCATCAAAAGGATCTTCAAATGTCAGATTCAAGCCACCATCATCATCTTCGATGCCCCCGTAAGCACTTGGGACACCAAAATCTTTATTGTCATCTAAAATCTGCAAATAACCAACAAGTTGCATATTGAGATCAAACGTGTGACCATTCGATTTTGCACCAAAGTCTATTTTCTTCCAGATGATGCCCCCAAAACTCACTAACCTTAAACGTATCCAAGAAATAATAATAATAATCTAAATCAATCAACCTATCCACAACTATTTATTAAGGGCTTAATATAGCCAGGCACTGTGCTATATTCCACACTGTGGGAATTCAAAAACAAAAACAATGCCTGCTCTCAAGGAGCTTACATTCTAATGGAGAGATAACAGTAATAATAATAACAACAATGACAGATAGAATTTATATAGTACTCAAAGGCTTGCAATGCTTTTTGTAATGTTAACACCTTTTAAGCTCATCATAACCCTGTGAGGTAGATGCTATTACTACTGACATTTTATAGACAAGGAAAGTGAAGCACAGGGAGATTTAAGGGACCTGTCCAGGATCAATCACACATCTAATAAGTTTCAGAGTGAGGATTCAAATTCAGGTCTTTTTAACTCCAAGTCTCATAACTCTATCCATTGCACTACCTACCTCACTGCCTGACTTAATACACAAGATAAATACAAAGTAGTTAAATAGTACCTTCTTCAAGAAGACTTTCCATATCCCCCATAATGCTAATGCCTCCCCTCTGAGGTTATCTCCAATTTATTTTCCATATATACACACATATTTACTATAATATGCTTATGTATGTAAATAAGCATACACGTATGTATGTGTTGTTGTTCAGTTGTGTCCAACTCTTCATGACCTTGTGAACCATAACACTCCAGTACTGTCCATGGGATTTTCCTGGCAAAAATACTGTAGTGGTTTGCCATTTCCTTCTCCATCAGATTAAGGCAAACATTTTTGCTCAGGGTCACACTGCTGGTAAGTGTCTGAGGTCAAGTATAAGCCTCTACATTTGTACCTATTGAATTTCACTCTTCTTGACTCTATCTCGTCAAGATCTGACTGACCATGTTTCTGTGTTATTCTCTGACACCTACCTTTGTTTCCATCGTCTATTCAAGCATTTTAAGAATTTTGCTTGGTTAAGAAGTTCCTCATGCACCTACATGAGTCTCTTTAAGACAGTAGCCCTTTGCACTCATTAGAATTGATCATATCTTAAGAATTTCATTCTTTAGAACTCCCCTTCCCTTCTAGGCTATGCTTGTAGAATTCTACTCCTATAGAATTTTAATCCTTGGAATCTTACCTATCCTTCCTCGAAACTCCTTGAAATCTGCTCTACCAAAATCTAAGATTAATGCCAAATAATTCCTAGTGATTCTCTATCACCAAACCCTAAGATAAATATCCCACACCAGCCACCAGTTTGATAAATTTAGAGCTGGAAGGGCTTCAAAGTCCTAATTCAATTCCTTCATCTTAAAGATGAGGAAAATGAGGCTTAAAGTTATTTGTCTAGTTTGCCAAAGGACACTGGAATTTGAACCCAGGTCCTCTGATTCCAGACCCAATGCCGTTCCACCATATTCCCTATCATTGGGGAGAATCAGATCCCGAAGGGAATTTCCTTTGACTGGTGTTTGGACCTTTAGAAGGATGAAATTATCATGAAGGTGAGTCAAGAATGTGCTTGCTGCTCTGCTCTGGGCAGAAAGAGCTACAGCAGATGAGTGGATAACTGACTTCTCCCATCACTTCAACCTATTGTGCATCTGTATCTCACTTCTGATCTCTTTCTCTCCTGAATGTCTCAGCTACAGCCTCCTTCCCTTGAGATGGTCTGCAGTAGGTTGTGATGATGACCCCTCTGTTTCTACCTCGACTGATCCTTATCTAAAGGGAGTTCACCAAATCTACTCCTTCTCCTCCTTGGATTTCTCCACATAAGTAGATCTAATTAATACATGACATACTCTCCCCTGGCTCCTTTTAGCCATCCTTTTTCTTTTGCACAAAAAGTCAAGAGTAGAATCCTACCATGTCTCAGGGATGAGCTTTTTTTTGTTGTTTTTTTGGGGGGTAGGATTTTGTGTCTATGTTTTCCTCTTAGCAGTAGGACCTCTGGTTCCCTTCCTTGTTTGTTAGGCCTACTTTACATAAACGTGCATCCTTGGTGCATTTCTCTGGGCCCGCATACCTGCACTTCTGTAAATGTCTCTTAGCTATAGCATCTCCAGGGCTCCATTAATCCTTAAGGACACCTTGAGGACAGGGACTGAGGCACATGGCTAGCACCAGCCCTGCTCTACACAGATTGCTATGACTCCTTCCGAGTCTTCAAACAGGCTCTCAAGTATGCCCTTTTTGTAAAAACACCTCCCCTTACCCGTCCTTCCTTTCATACCTAGAAAGGGTCTGCCTCCTTCCCCTCGCTCCTCACCACACACTAACTCAATCTACTGTAAGCTGACTCCTGACCCCATTCGTGGACAGATACTGCTCTTTCAAACGTTGCCAAGGAAAATTTTCTCAGTCTTCATCCTCCTTGACTTTTCCATAGCTTTAAAAACCACTGATAACTCCATTTTCTCAGATGTTCTTTCTTTCTTTGACATTCTTCTCTCTCCTGTTTCCCTCCCTCCCTGCCTCACTGAGCCTTCTCAGTTGTCAATGAAAGTTTAGATCCATCCTGATTCCCTTTGGGTAGGGGTGTCTGCTCAAGCTCTATCCAGGGTCGTTTTCTTTCTCTGAAATTTTGCAACTCCCCTGGGTCAAAATATCATCTCTATGCAGATGACTTCCAGATTTATATATCCAGCTATAATCTGTTTCTTTTTTAAAGATGTGGGTTTTAGATCTTTCATTTCTCTTATAGAATCACACAATGACAGGATCCCAAGCCTAGAGTCAGAGGTCACCTAGATCTATCCTGCCTTGTAATATCAATATCTCTTACAAGATCCCTGACAAACGGTTATCCAATTTCTGTTCATATACCTCCCAGAAAAACTCAGCACTTCACAAGGGAGCTGCTTCTAGAGTCTGACAATTTTAATTATTTTAAGTTCTTTATGTGAAACCAAAATTTACCTTTATATCTATTTGTAAAGTAGTTAGCATATTTCCTGGTGCATTATTGATGCTTAATAAATGCTTGTTACAATCTCAAAGGACTCATGATGAAAAATGCTATCCGCCTCCAGAGAAAGAACTGATGGTGTCTAAATACAGACTGAAGCACAGCATTTTTCTCTTTCTTTCTTGGTTAGAGTTGTCTTCCATAAAATGACTAACATGGAAATGTTTTACAAGATTGCACATGTACAACGTATATCAGATTGCTTACTATCTCTGAGAGGGAGAAGGGATGGAGAGATAGAATTTGAAACTCAAAACTTTGAAAAATGAATGTTAAAAATTGTTTTATATATAATTGGGGAAAAATAAAATATTTTTTTTTAAAAATATGCTGGTTACCTGCCCCCTTCCTGTCTACCTTTCCCTTCCCTCCATAATGCCTAGTTATTCCATCTGGACCAAACAGAAGAAGCTAATCCTTCTCCTGCCCCTACACCCTGGGTTCTGGTGAGCTTTCACTTTATCTTCCCCAATACTGGGACTACTATCTTTCTTCTCAGCCACCTCTGAGCCCTGCCATATGTCATCCTCCACTTCTTGTTTTTGCCTGCACGTTCTAGAATCTAAGAATCTCAAAGGTAAGGAATGTCTTGTTTACTTGCAGTTGTATCCCAAATCTTACTTAGCACAGGGCCTAGCACGCATCAAGCATTTTTTCATCCATTTGTTCATTCTATAAGTCTGCCCTTAATATCTGAAGACAGCGATCATGTCCCCCTAAACTTTCTCTTCTGCAAACTGAAACTATGCAGCCTCTGAACATCCCATTTCTCACATTCAAAGATTCTAAGCATATTCCATTGCCTTGATTGTCATGATTTTTAGTGAATCAACCAACAAGACTGTTTTGAGTGCCTACTGTATCTGATGCCTGATACTGCAGGGAGGTTACAGTCACAAAGAATGAATTATTCTTTACTCCCAAGGAACTAACATTCTACCAGTAGGGATGGCATTGATATATGTGTATGTGTATACACACACACACACACACACACACACACACACACACACACACACACACA